TCCCGGCCCAGCGTCCCCTCCCCCACAGGCTCTCGGACGCGGCCTTCGACACAGCGCGCCTGTGGGCACTGGTGGCGCTGTGCCTGCTGCGCCTGGCCGTGACGCGGCCGCACCTGCAGGCCTACCTGTGCCTGGCGCGGGCTCGCGTGGAGCAGCTGCAGAGGGAGGCTGGCCGCATCGAGGCCCGCGAGGTCCAGCAGCGGGTAGGGCGGGACGCCGGCGGGACGGGGGCGGGCCACTGGGGAGGGCCGGCGGGGCTGAGCTCCGGGTCCCAGCCGCTCCCGCCCGCAGGTGGTCCGGGTCTACTGCTACGTGACAGTGGTTAGCCTCCAGTACCTGACGCCGCTCATCCTCACGCTCAACTGCACGCTGCTGCTCAAGACGCTGGGTGAGGCAGGAGGAGGCGGGGCCGGACGGGGGCGGGGCCTGGATAAGGGGCGGGACATGAGAATGTGGTGGGCGGGGCACTGCAAGGGGCGGGGGCCAGGGAGGGAGCAGTGGGCGGGGCCCAGGGAGGGAGCAGTGGGCGGGGCCCAGGGAAGGAAGGCTTAGGAGGACTTTAGGTCTGGGCCAGGATGCGATGGGTGCGGTTCACGGGAGGGGCGGGGCTGAGGACGAGGTGGGTGTGGCCTGGTGGAGGGGCGGGGCCTGACGAGTTGGCGGAGCCAGAGGTGGACAGGCGCACTCAGGCGGCGTGGAACAGGAGTAGGAACTCTGAAGAGACAGGCCAGCATGAGTTCTGGGCAGGGCCTGAGCTGGAGTAGAGGCCCGAACTGAGCCATGTGGGGACAGGGCCTTTTGTGAGTGGGTGGGGTCACGTGGGTCAGGGCCCAAACTAAAAAGTACCAACAGGTGGGCGGGCGTGGCTTGGGCGGGGCCAGAGAGGGGCGGGGCCTGCGTGGGACAGGAGCCAGGCGGGGGTTCAGCCCCGGCCGCTAACCTCCGTCCTGGCCTCCCGCAGGGGGCTACTCCTGGGGCCTGGGCCCTGAGCCGGCGCCATCACTGTCGGGGCCCCCAGCCCAGGCCGCGGCCGTCGCCGCCGGGGAGGACGACGCCCAGCAGACGGCGGCCTGGATCGCCGGGGCCCTGGGCGGCCTCTTCACGCCGGTGTTCCTCCGCGGCCTCCTGGCCTACCTCATCTGGTGGACGGCCGCTTGCCAGCTGCTCTCCAGCCTCTTCGGCCTCTACTTCCACCAGCACCTGGGCGGGGCCTAGACGCCCGCAGCCCTCCTGCCCTCCTTGTGTGCCTCAGTGTCCCCAGCGGCAAGATGGGGCAGACCGCTCGGGATCCCCCTACCATGGTGCCTGGGCTGTGGGCCCTGGACAGGGGGGCAGGGCCTGAGCCTCTGTCCCCACCCGGGCGTCGTGCGTGCGCGCATGCGCCCCAGACTGCTCAGATGGACGACTATTTGGAGCACGCCTTTTCCAAACTGACCCCAAGTGGCAGGGAGAAAAGTGGGGGCCCAGGAGACGAGCTAGGGGCGGGGAACCCGTCCCGGTTCGCCGCCCCTCCTCGCGAGGCCGGGGTGCCAGAAGGGCTGTGTACCCCGCAGGGCCCCCGGGGTCCGGCGTGCGCACACGAGGGCGAGGGCGGGCGCAGCGCGGGTTCTGGAACCTCCTGTGTGTGTAGATCGTATATCAGCAATAAATGATATGGTGTCCGGCGCCCCCGCTTCAGCCTGTCGTCCCCGCGGCTCAGCAGGCTGAGATCTGAGGATCGCGGTTCGAAGCCAGCCCGGGCAGGACCGCCCGTGAGACTGATCAGAAAACCGGCAGTGGCGCCGTGGCTCGGGCGGCAGAGCGCCCACCCGGCGCTGGGTGGGGGGGAGGGCCGAGGCAGAAGTCGCTTTCGTTTTTATTAAATATAATCTTGGCACAAATCTTTAAAATATATAAACGTTATGTATAAACAAAGTGTCGTCATGGCATGAAAATATACTCCGCGCCAGGCCACAGCTGGCAAGCGGGGCGCCCCGCCGGCCAGCCCCGCCCCCCCACGCACCCTGAGGCCCTGCGCCGGAAACCCAGCTCAGCTCCCGCGCTGGAAATTCTTGTCCCGGGCAGGGGCCGCGGACACGGGGTGCCCGGGACCCAGGGAATGTTAGGGTTGCGTGGAGAAAGGGCCGGCGGCCCCCCCGCTCCGCGCGGGGCCTCGACGCCTCGAGGGGCGCTGGGCGGGGCCAGCGGGAAGGACCGTCCCTCCCAGCCAACAAGGCGCGGCCTGGGGTTCGGTGGGGAAGGCCGGGCCCCCCACCCCGGGCAGGGCGTGGC